GGGAGAGGGGAGGGGGTAAATCGTGGAAAAGTGGAGTTGTGAGGGAATCAGTGTGGGAATTTGTTGTTACAGTACATTATATAAGTTGGGCTAAAAGAGCAGTGTAAGTAAGAGAGGGGGAAGTAAAAGAGAGAGAGAGACGTAAAGCATAAGCATGCGGAAGATTGCGTCAGAAGATTCGCCACAGGTTGTAGGCGCGTTGAAGGGCGGCGGCGGCGGCAGTTGTTGTTGGAAAGTGGAGTGTTGTTAATCGGGAGGTGGTGTTACCACTGTCCGTGAGCAGCAAGTGCAGCAACTTATGAATCTTCCTTTTCGTCTAGAATGAAAAAAGAAATTAGGTGAAAACTCATTAGAAGAAAACAGTTGGTAATTACTCTTTCCAAGCTTGGCGGGCACCTTTTTTAGTTTGTTGCGCATGGCGGCAATCTCCGACTCGCTGACGACAAACTTTGACGCCTGGACGCCTGCTGTTGTGGACTTCTGCTGCTGCTGCTGGGAAGTGCTCTTGAAGGAGACTTTGCCAAAGGTTGCCGGTGCAAACATGCTCGGTGGTGGTGGTGGTGGAGGTGGTGGGGGCGAAGAAGAAGGTCTACAAAGGTTTGATGGTGGTCTCACCGGTGGTGAAAGCGAACAGCAGCTCTCCTCCTCCTCCTCTGATCCGCCGTAGAAGGCGCAGCTTCCTCGGCTTCTACTCCGTGTCCCAATGCCGTCGCCGACGTTGCTGTTCAGATGACTAAGAATGGAGTCCACGGGAAAGGAGGAGAACATCTCCAAGTTGGGAGGAGGAGGCGTGAGAAGCTGAAGATGATGACGCTCTTCGGCGGCTGCTGAAGTTCCCGAGTCGAAGGACACCGGGGAAAACTGCTGTTGCTGGTCCTGGTCCTGGTGGTGATGGTGGTGGTGGTGGTGGTGAATGTTGCCCACAAAGCCGTTCAAGGCCGCGGCCTCCTCCTCCTTGGAGGCGATCTTCTCCAGCAGGGCGTTTCCCTCGGCCATGGCCTGCTTGAGAAGCTCCAGCCTTTGGGCGGTCCTCTCCTCGACGGCCGCCTGCGTCCTCGCCGCCCCCTCCAGCTCCTCCTTCAGGCGGCCAATCTGCCCGTGGACCAGGTCGAAGCGGCCCTCCAGGGCGGAGCATCGCTCTCGGAGCTCCGCGTAGAAGTACGTCTCGAAGAAGCGCCGAACGGTGGCCGCCCAGCGGTCCGCCAGCTTCCGGTAGACGAAGAAGGCGGCGTTGAAGGCCAGCGCTGTCAGGGCGACGGCCATGGTGAGGAAGAAGAGCAGAACGGCTTTCCAAATCAGCGTACAGAGGCGGAAGGCGAGGCGACGAACTGCGGTGGCGGCCGCTCTGCTGAGTACTAGAATCGTCTGAAGGTGTTTAGTCTTCATCTTCAGACGATGATGTCTTCTTCTTCTTCTTCTTNTCAGGGCGACGGCCATGGTGAGGAAGAAGAGCAGAACGGCTTTCCAAATCAGCGTACAGAGGCGGAAGGCGAGGCGACGAACTGCGGTGGCGGCCGCTCTGCTGAGTACTAGAATCGTCTGAAGGTGTTTAGTCTTCATCTTCAGACGATGATGTCTTCTTCTTCTTCTTCTTTGCTTTGTGTTGTTGTGAGAGTGGTGGTAGCAACTCTTGTCGACGGCCGAAACGACGACCAGCGTACGACCAAGAAGCGTAGAGTGTCTCAAGTGGTGTTCTTTTCAAACAAGAAGAGGTAAGGGGAGAAGAAGAGAGGTAGAAGAGAGAGAGAGAGAGAGAGTTTACCTCTTGAAGAAGATTTTGGGTAAAGAAGTGAAATCGAGGAGCGCGAAATCAGAGGCTGCTTTTCGCCGGCCAGAAAAGAAGTACTGAAAATGGCTTCTGTTTTCTGCTACCGCTGCCGCTGCTTTTGGCGCGCAAGTGTGCCCTCTCCTTCTTCTTCTTTTGTTGACAAAGGTGCAAGTTATGTCGCGACTTGCGAGCTGAGTCAAGTGCAACTGTGATTTTTTTTGCTAAATTCTAATTTTTATTTTTTATCTACTTTTATCAGCACCACCTTTTCTAACCCCCCCCCCGCAGATCTAGATTGGATTCTTCCGATGAGACCAAAAAAATGGAAACGATGCTTTCTTATGCTTTGTTTTGAAATCAGTGCTCAAACAGCTGATGACATAACAGCTATCTTTTTTTGTTGATGCAGGAAAATCCGCTCCAATCTGAAGAGAACGGCGTTGTCCCATCGTCACCACAATGGTGTGACAATCAGCCATCAGCCATTACTGTCACAGTTGTACTAACTCCATTTTGAAGACGATGATGGTGATGTCTTTTTGATCTCCCAATGACAGAGGCCTTCCTTCCTCTATTGGAGTCGCCTTGAAATGAGGCGAGCAAATTGCTATCACGAATCGTGTCTTCCAGATTGGACGATGATGCTCTGATGAAAAGTTATTATATGACTGCTTTCCCTGCTCTGCTGAACCTTGCCAGACTTGCGAAATGTGACATCACATCGAGCGTCTCGCACGCGCGCTCGGAAGAACAAAACTATCGCTGTTGTACTTTACCATTGTCTGCCTTCTTCGTTTTCTGCCAATCTTCGACACCTTCGATATCATCGCCCTCATCATCACCATCATCATCAACATCAAACACAGAAAGAGCCTTTTTGTCTCATTGCTTCCTCGCCGCTCTTCCGCTAATAACCGATGTTATTAGTATTTTGCACCTGATCGTCTGCTCCTTCTTCTTCCATTTGCTCTTTTTCAAGGTAGTAAAGACGTTCACCACTTCCCACAGTGGTAATGGTGGCCTTCTTCAAGTGCAAACACACACCACTTACAGTGTCTACTGCAGCCAACACGTAACGTATTCCATGGCTGCTGGTAGCCTCTAATCTAATTATATCTCATTCCTTTTTCTTTTTGCCTACAGAGAGGAGGAGGAGGAAGAGGAAGAGCCCTCGGGAGCACCATCTTCAACTGTTGTCGATTGAACTGTACAACCACATCAAAGAGCACACCGTACAGTTCAAAAAGAGCATTCTTCTCTGAAGTCGACGTCAAAGTCGAAGTCATACAAACAATGGCCTGGGCAACTGTGCTGTTGATTACCATGATGACCATTACAACCACCGCCAATTGGTCACTTCTGCAGCAGCAACAGCAGCTTCCTCACTAAGACAGTGTGTCCTACTGAGAGGTAAGTGAGTAATTCTCTCAAGATCAACTCGTGAGCGACGACGACGAAGACGGCAGCAACAAAGAAAGAGACGAGGAGAGGAAACAATGACAAGCGCTTGTAAATATCAAGAGCAGCAGCAGCAGCAGCTCATCGCTGGCTACCGTCAGCCTTGACAGACGACAAACGGCAAATGTGATGGTCAGTTTCACCTTCACTCTGCTGTTTCTACTACTTCGGGGGACTGAGATTTGGTGCTGATCTGCACACTGCAAATGGCACGCAATGCTGAGCACAGGAGTGAGCAATGACACGAATCGCACGTACGACAGTCATCATCATCTACATTAGTACAGGTAAGAGGGGCAGGCATTCAGCTCGATTTGGCTGAACAAGTGGTCGACATTTGCATAGCACACACATCGACGACCACAGCGACCACGATTGCTTCTTATCCCCATTGTGCGGAGAATTATGTTATTGTCATCATCATCGCTGCTGAAGAAGTGCCTGCCTCCCTACTCTTCTCTCTAGCCACGATTTTATGGCCTCTGATGGCAGGCGAAATGAGAAATGAGAATGATGAAGGTCCTTACCATTGAAGATCGGAGTTTTTTTTGCGGCTGCTGCTGCTGCTGCTGCTGCTGCTGCTGCTGTGGTTGTTGGTGTAATTAGATTCGTCAAAATATTGATTATATTTTGTTTCTCTATTTAGCCAAGTCTACTCTGCAGGGGGCTTAATTACCATCAGCTCAAGTTTCCATTTGCATACTTTAGTGTTTAGTGTTCGCTAACATCGAAAAAGTGAAGAAGTGATTGGACACACAGACGGATGGCAAAGGACACAGTCGACAAACAGTTTTTGTTTGTTGGGCTTCCGCTGTCTGCAATTGCTGCTAATTGCTGAGCACAACATAACATAACACATAACATAACTGTCTGCGTCTGCCTTTTCATTTCTTCCTCTCCTTCTCCTTCTCCTCCTTCTTCTTGACCACTAATTACTTCTGCCATCCACTCTGTGTTACCCTTGAACATCATCACTGAGTTGAACTTGATCATCACCACCACCACCATCACCACCATCAGCACTGTCATCGGCAATGTCCGCGTTCTTTTTCTGCCTCTCTGCCTCTCGCTCAAGTAACATCAATCAATGCCAAAC